GCAGCAGCAGCAGCAGCAGCAGCAGCGGCTGCTGCTGCTGCAGCAGCTGCCCTCCCGGCTAAGCCCCCACTGCCTGGGGGCCCTCCTGCGGCAGCTTTGCGAGGCCCAGGGGCCCCCCGTCTTTGAGGCCCCCCTTCTTTTTGCTGCTTGCTGGGCAGCACAAAACCCTTCAGCGGTACGGGAGCAGCAGCAGCAGCAGCAGCAGCAAGAGCAGCAGCAGCAAGAGCAGCAAGAGCAGCAAGAGCAGCAAGAGCAGCAAGAGCAGCAGCAGCAACCGGAGCAGCAACCGCAGCAACAGCAGCAGCAGCAGCAAAAGGAGCAGCAATAGCAGCAGAAGCGGTAGCTACAGCAGCAGCAGCAGCAGCAGCAGCAGGATTACACTAGTGACGAGGGCTTGGGGCACTGGAAAATGACTTTAGCGTTTGAAAGGGGCGAAAGGGTTTGCTAGGCTGGGCGAGGGTTTACGCGGCCGGAGCGCCGCCGCGAGGGTTTAGGGTTTAGGGTTTAGGGTTTAGGGTTTAGGGTTTGTTGCGCAGGGTGCGGAGTCGCTAAATGTCCCTTTAAAAGGAACAAATATCTCTTGGAAGTTTTTAATTGAAACTGCTCAAAAGAGACAAAGCGAGGCGCTGCTGCTGCACGTCTTCAGGTGTATAGGCAGCTCCTGCCTGCAAGCAGCAGCAGCAACAGAACTCCAGAAGAAACACCCCCACACAGGTCCGCCGGCCCCACGGAGGGTTTAGGGTTTAGGGTTTAGGGTTTAGGGTTTAGGGTTTAGGGTCCAGAACTTGGCGCTCAGCCTGCCGGCTTTCTTGCTGATGAAGCGGCTGGAAGAAGAGGGCCCAATTTAGGTGTGCTGCAGCTGCTGCAGCTGCAGCTGCTGCAGTTGCTGCGGGTGCAGTTGCCGCTGCTGCAGTTGTTGCTGCTGCAGTTGTTGCTGCTGCAGTTGTTGCTGCTGCAGTTGTTGCTGTTGCAGTTGCTGCTGCTTCAGTCGCTGCTGCGTCAGTTCTTGCTGAGTTGCTGCGGCTGCAGTTGCTGCTGCTGCAGCAGCTGCTGCTGCCTTGAAGCAGCAGCTTATCTTTTAGATCTTCTGCCTTCAGGTCTGCCTCTGGACCCATGGGGCTTCCTCATGAGCCGCCGGCTCCTCTTGGCCTCCAAAAGGGCCTCTAGAGAGGCCCCCCAAGGGGCCCCTCAAGGGGCCCCCCTAGGGGCCCCTCAAGGGGCCTTCCCAGGGGCCCCCCCGGGGGACCTCCGAGGGGCCCCCTCGGGGGCCCTCCTGCCTAATGCTGCCTCGGGGGTCTTTGCGAGGAGGCCCTTCTCTCCTCAGTTTCAATTGCAGCAAAATGTTTACCAAGATGTGCAGCAGCAGGAGGCACAGGCCCCTCTTGAGGCGCGCAGCAGCAGCAGCAGCAGCAGTAGCAGCAGCAGCAGCACTAGCAGGAGCAGCAGCAGCAGCAGTAGCAGCAGCAGCAGCAGCAGCACAGGCACGTACTTGCTGCACCCCATGTCGATTCATTTTGTGGCGACAGCAGCAGAACTGGGGAAGCATTTCGAGTTTCTAAGGAAGCAGCAGCAGCAGCAAAGCCGCATTATTTACACGCAGCAAGAGCTGCAGCAGCTAAGGGCCCAGGGGACCCCCGGGGCCCCAGGGGGGCCCCCAGGGGCCCCCAGGGGCCCCCCATTCTTGCCCAGTGGGCGGCGCCGCCGGCTGCAGCTGCAGGACTTTCAGCAGCAGGAGCAGCCGCAGTCAGTACCCTCTTGGGAGGCCTCCGGGGGCCCCCCGTGGGGCTCCCTGAGCAGCGGGGGGCCCCTCTGTCAGCCCGAGGGTACAGAGGGTACAGAGGGCCCCCCCAGCGGCGAAGGCCCCCAAGGGTCAGGGGTTTCCCACTCCCCAAAGGGCCCCCAGAGCTCAGGGGGCCCCCAACCGTTTGGAGGCCCCCTAGGAGCTGGCAGCAGCTCAGGAGGCACTGGGTCTTGGGCCCCCCCTGGGGCCCCTGGGGCCACGGGGGCCCCCGGGGTCCCGGGGGCCCCTTGGGCCCCAGGGCCCCCGGGGCCCCCAGAGGCGGTGGGGCCCCCGGGGGCCCCCGGGGGCCCCCAAGAG